GGGTACCGGACCATGATGCTGAAGAACTCGAGCTTTTCTTTGGTGAAGCGTTCTTGGAAGAGGATCTGCAAGTGTAAGGTACAAAAGGCTGGATCAGCCAATACGGTGACGAGGATGGAGGGATTCGAACCCATTTCTTGAACGTGCTCGGTGCGAGGCTGTCCATGGCCTCGGCGACGCCGCACGCCGAGCTCAACATGCTCTGCTGAGCCGATTCGTTTGCGAGGTCGACGTGCCCGTGCTTGACGGCGTAGTCGAGCACTTGCAAGGGATGGGTCGTGGTCGACTCCCTGTTCAAGTCAACGTAAGTAAATTCTAGACGCGTGCAATGCAGAAGTTAGAACACGAACTTCATCCTCATGCGACACCACCCCAGCGCCGAATACACCACATATTTCTCCGCCGCCTCCGCCAGGCCCGCAAATACCCCGAATTCCACGTCTCGGAGGTCCGGTTGTGGTTGGCGGTACATGTACTGGAACAGCAGCTCCAGAACATCGGCGCTCTCCGAGAGATAGACGATCTCGTCGGGAGCGCCGTTCTGCGGCCGAGTTGCCCCCTCGGCGTTGGCGAAAACGTCGGAATGGACTTCGAGGTTCTTGTGGTGCACTTTGAAGAGAACGCCATCGGAGGATGCGATGGTGAGGTCTGAGTCTGAGGCGCAGACTGCGCAAGGAAAAGGTTAACAGGGCTAGCCTGGATTCGAAAAAGAGAGAAGGCTTGCATCGGTTTGATATCCTCGTGGGTTCCATGTGGCCCTCACGATAGCGGGGAGTAAGGGGGTTTCGTCAGTAGGGCGAGGTGCTCGAGAGGTAAATGCTTCAGGTGTTGACGGGCTAGTTTTTTCTCCTGGGTTCGCGTCAACGACTAGTTTTCCAGCTCCAGTGGTTAGATCAAGCAAGAGTGGCAAGCTTTTTCCTGGGAGATTGGGCCAAAGCGCCACCAAGCTTATTTACAGAGTCACTATGCCACTAGAGCGCGCTCAAAAGGAGAGGCCCGATGGTGGGGTTTTGGGAGGGAGAGAAGATGGGAGGACGAGAACAAGGAGGATTTCATAAATGTCATGATGCTGACACAATGTTCCGAAGCGGCCCGATCGTCCGCGAACATCCAACCAAAATTGAACACATGCACAGAAGTTGCAAAAGTGGCCGCAGCAGTGGTAAAGCTCGGGAGGATATTTACATCTAGATATTTGACGGGTCCAAAATACCGAGCGCGAATCTCAGATTTGCGTCAAAATATATTGAATCTTGAACTTGAAGCTCATCCTCCTTCTCTCTCCACAAAAAGAAGTAGAAGGATATATCATGATCTGATTAGGAAGAATATATCACTACGCCGTGAAATTCACCTGCCTTACCCTCCAACCCACTTATTATCCTTATAAACGGCAGGCGAGTCGGCCACCCGGGAGACGTCTGCTTCTGCACTCATCTTCCATCCTCCCGGAAGCACACTGGAGTCTGGTGCATAGAGGGTGTGTGAGTTTGCGCGATGATGATGATGATGTGTAATACAGCTTCCTGCGGCGTGCCCAGGGGATAGAATCCTGCAACTACCTCGGACACAACTTTTGAACAGATGCTAATACAAGCATCTGGATTGCAACTCCACCGCAACTTCACTCAAAAACATATAATCTTTTGATCTTTCGTGGCTTTTCCGAGCGAAATGTTATACTAAATTGTGGAAAAACTGACATAGCTTGCGGTCTTCTGTCTTTGGGGCTTTTTCAAGCTTGTAGAAGCTCGAAAAAGCCCCCAAAAGTAAATTGTGAAAAACGTGATGAAGACTCTTACCCATGTTTTAAATGTATCAAGGGTGAGCATCTCCATCGCTTTGGCGACTCCAACACCCATACTGTGGCGGGCTGATTCATTGGCTAAGTCGGTGTATTGTGTCTTGTGGCATGAAGGGGACCTCCAATGGATGTGCAGACATGGAATCCTTGTTCGGCGTAAATAGAGATCCTCGCCCAGTGATGAGGCAAGAGAACGACGTACTTCAAGTTCATCCTCATCCAGCACAGTGTAAGTGCCGAGTAGACCTCGTATTTTTCAGCCGCCTCAGCCAAGTGTGCAAATGTTGAGAATTCCAGCCGGGAGATCCGGCTGCGGTTGGGATACATGAATTGGAAGAGCAGCTCAAGCGTATTAGAGGATTCCGACAACTCGACGACCTTCTGGCTACTCTCCGGTCGTATCGAGCTTTGGGCGAAATACCGGCGAATGTTGGGCGAATGCACTTCAAGATTCTTGCGATGAACCTTGAAACGGACGCCATCCGAAGAGGGGACGGTGAGATCTGAATCAGCGGCGCAGGCTAGGGAGGAACGAAAGTCAACTACATTCGGAGAGGTGTTGAGACGCTTCGATGTCTGTGGAGCGGCCATACTGGATGGAGGCGAGGCGAGGAAGCGTGGAATCACGAGTCTTACCAAACGAAACGCGAAAATAGGCCGTGAGAATAATCCGACGTCGCATTGGCGGGCAATATTACTGCTCTGACGCGTTCGGTTTAACGTGGCTGGAGGTTGTGTTCTTGTTTGTCGAGCAGATACTTCGTGACCTCAGAAAATAAGAACCCGCCGAGGAGATTTTCAACATCAAAGAAAAAGATCTCCGTCATGTACGTATGTTCGGAGACAGACATTAACATTTGCTATCGACTTACATTCTAGCTGGGAAGCGTCTCCACATCTTCCAAGTTACGACCAAAGGCAGACTCAACTCCTCGTCCTATAGTGCGCCAGCTGTAAAGTTCAGAATCTTCCTTGGTGGCTCGCGTAAGTATACGAGGAAGGTAGGAAGGCCATAAAGTTTCTGTGGATCAGTTCAGATCGCCTCGGTCTCTTGAAATTTCCTCCAGGACATTGTAGATTAACGAGGAGATGTGGGTTGATGCCAGCCACCTTCGAACCGTGGGAAAGTGGTGATGATAGCTCCATAATTTGGTTTCCGGAGGCTGCAAGCCATTCTTTGGTTTCCCGCGTGTATTATGGGATGTAAAGGAGGAAGGGAGCAGGGGTATGAGGCCTCCGTGGATCAGTGCAGGTCGCCACGACAATCTTGTTTGTTTCTTTGAATGTCATAACGAGGAGACGTGGGTTCGAGTCCTGCCCGAGGCATGGGCCAAAGACTATCCAGTTTTTTTTTCAAAGGGCACCTCTCGAATTCTTCCCTGGTGCCTTCTGTTCTCTTCCATCCGAATCTACAGTCGGCCAGTGCTGTTGGGATTCCTGCAGCCGGGAGGTGTAAATTGTGATCAGACCTAAGCCTGAAGTGTGCAGCCATCGGCACCAGGCGCTAACCAAGGGCTTCAAATCCTTTGATTCCTCGGACCTGTCTTTTGAACCGCATCACGGGAAAATTTGAACCCAACCTAACTTCGAACCGTGGGAAGGTGGTGATGAGAACTTTGAATTAACAGTGTAATCAGTTTCGATGCTCGGTGTACCATAGCTTGCATAGAGGAGGAAGCGAATAGGGCTATGAAGTCTCTGTGGATCAGTCACTGCGTTCCAGGACCTCCTAGACTCAGCCTGAGTTCAGGGGCCTACATGGACCTACACTGCGACCCACCTACGTACAATCTGCGTAGGTCAATGTAGGTCTGTGTAGGTCAATGTAGGTCAGTCAAGGTCAGCTAAGGTGAATATAGGTGAATGTAGGTCCATGTAGTGACCTATACTAAGACCAATTATCACCTCCAACAACAGTCCAGTACTAGTATCAACAACAAATGGTCCCAATTTTCAAGTCCAAAATATATAACCAACAATAGATCAGTGAGATTTTTGCTGTTACCATTGAACTTGGGGCCATGTTTGAGTTAGGCAAATCACTGTAGTCGTTGCCTGAGGTCAATGAAGGTAGGCGTAGGCGCCTACACCGACCTAAGTATACCCAGCTCAGGTGAGTTACGTACACCTACGCTGAGCTACATCCGCCTTTACTGATCGCCGTCAAGGTGGACGTAGGTGACCTACGCTGACCTATTGTAGCCGACTACACTGACCTACGTACACCTACATTCACCTTTATTGACTCAGCCTAGGACCCCCTGGAACGCAGTGAGTGTAGATCGCCTCGGCCATGTATCCTGCACATGTTGATTATGATATTCAATGAGGAGATGTGGGTTCAAACCCCACCGAGGGCATAGAGTATCGGTTTCCTCCTTTTGTCTCCCCTTCGACTTCATCCCTGTTTCCTTCTTTTTTCCCTCCAACCTCGTTCTGGATCACCATCAAAATTCAATTTGAGCTAAGAAGATGTGGTTGAATCAATCATGGATCATGGACCATGGCAGTCAACGCAGGGAAATAAGCCTTAGATTGAGAACTGTATATGCAATCTATAGAGCCAGCACCGAGTAGTTATGAAGCCTTTGTGGATCAGTGTAGATCGCCTATATCTTGAGCTCGTAGTGCTGCATAGTTAACGAGGAGATGTGGGTTCAAGTCCCGCCGGAGGCATGCCCTGAAAGACCAGAAGTTTTTATTTTTATTTAGGATTTTTCCATTGTTGTTTTGGATGCCGATTTGCGTGAATGCATGTGGAGGAAAGGGATAGGGTTTGAAGCCTTCGTGGATCCGTGTAGTCGCCTCGGATATGTTTGTACTCCTTTGAAGATTAACGAGGAGACATGGGTTCGACTCCCGCCGCAGGCATAGAGGTCAAGGACTCCGGAACCTTTTTTGCCTCCTTGCACTTCTTTTTAGTCCGATGCCCAGCTGCCTAATGAATAAGAAAAGAGGGTGCAAAGCCTCTGTGGATCAGTGTAGATCACCTCAACATGCATTATATATCCATGTTATCATTCCAGTGGGGAGACATGGGTTCGAATCCACCGCACGCATGGACCACCTGCTGCAACCGTTTTGATTTTTTTTGGGGGGGTTCAAAGTTTACTATTGCATCCTGACCTCAGAGTCGTATACATGTTGGACTATTAAGGTTGAGACACATATGGGAGCAGCGGGGAGTAGGCATGAAGCCTCTGTGGATCAGTGTAGATGGCCTCGACTTCTTAGAGGTTTTTCTTGCTTGTTATAGGCCGAGATAGCGAGGAGATGTGGGTTCGAGTCCCACCAGAGGCCTAAACGTGGCTTGAAGTCACTACTTTTCTTTGTCCCCTTCGACAACTTCTTCGGTTCCTTCCTTTTGAATCCTCTTCCCTCCCAACCTTGTTTCTGGCCGAGATCCCCTTCAAATAAGAAGGAGCATCCTCAGTGGTTGAACCAATTATGCAGCTCCTAACATTTTTGTTCTTGCCAGTGAGCCACGAGGCAAATCAAAGTCAGATGGGAAGGTGTATATGTAATCTATAGAGCCAGCACCGAGTGGTTATGAAGCCTCTGTGGATGGGGAGATGTGGGTTTGAGTCCCACTGGAGGCATGGGGTGTGGAAACTCGACCGAGTATTTTCCTTTTTCTCAGGCTGACTCGACCCGTCGTCCCTCCAACAATTCCAATTTCTGTGGTCTGGGTTTTTTCGTTGAACTTTGTTACAATTTTTGTCCTGGGACGGGACCTTGCTTGACATTGAAAGGTAGAAATAAGTGCTTAAGTGCATCAGTGCCGCTGTAGCTCAGCTGGTATTATGCATTCAGTGTTCAGATTTTCTGGGGGAGACGTGGGTTTGATTCCCGCCGGAGGCATGGGATTACGGAGTAAAAGGTTTGTCTTTTGGGTTAGTCTTTTAGATGCCCATTCGCATGCACATATGGCGGGAAGGGATAGGGTATGAAGCCTCTGTGGATCAGGGTAGATCACCTCGAGATTGTTCGAAGGGAACACTGACAAAGATTAAGGAGGAGATGTGGGTTCGAATCCCACCGGAAGCATGGATCTGAGGTCAAAAATTTTAAGGGGGTTCAAAATTTACTAGTACATCCTGATCTGAGTCATGTACGTGTTGGACTGGCTTAGAGCACCACTGTTTCTTTAAATATTCCTGACCCTTCTATGTGATCATTTAAGGATGGGATGTATATGGGATGCATATGGCAGGAAGGGATAGGGCATGAAACCTCTGCGGATCAGTGCAAGTCGGCTCGGATATGTACGGGGCAATGTTGATATTCAATGGGGAGACGCGGGTTCAAATCCCTAGAGGCATTCTGGATCTAAAGTTGTTGTTTTTTCAACTTGTTTTTGAAGGGTTCAAGTTCAATTTCCAATTTGTACTGACTTCGCTCGTGCATGTGATTTGGGTTTGAGCACCATTGTATGTATATGGGGAGGAAGGACAGGGTATGAAGCCTCTGTGGATCAGTGTAGATCACCTTGATATCTTGAGTCAGTTTCGTGCCTTGAAAATTAATGGGGAGATGTGGGTTCGAGTCCCACCTGAGGCATTCTGGATCTAGTTCATGTTTTTTTTTTCAACTTTCTTGAAGGGTTCAAAATTTACGAGTGCATTCTGACCTCCGAGTCGTGTACATGTTGGACTTGGCCAGAGGCCCACTGTTCTTTTGTATGTTCCTGGGCCCTATTATGTGATCATTTAAGGATGGGAATTATGGGATGCATATGGGATGCATATGGGAAGGGATAGGGTATGAAGCCTCTGTGGATCAGTGTAGATAGCCTCAGACATGTAGCATGATGACCCTCTGACATTCAATGAGGAGACGTGGGTTCGAACCTCACCGGAGGCATTCTGGATTTAAGGCCACATTTTTTTCGACTTTTTCTTTTGGGGATGGGGTTCAAAATTTCTTAGTACTTCCTCTCCAGTATACAGTACGTGGCTGGCTGGGCTTGAGGCTGTAGCCCTCAGTCCTAGACCCTATTATGTGATCAATTCTGAGTTTACTAGTAGATTCTAATTCCTGACCTCCGAGTCGTGACTGGGCTTGAGGCACTATGTACTTTTTTTAAAAATGTTCCTGGGCCCTATTATGTGACTAAGTAAGGATGGGATGCATATGCACAGCGGGGAGTAGGGTATAAAGCCTTTGTGGATCAGTGTAGATCACTTCGAGATTGTGCGACGGCAATGGAGAGATTAACAAGGAGATGCGGGTTCGAGTCCTGCAGGAGGCATAGACCAGCCTAGCTGCTGCAACCTTTTTGGGGAGTTCAAGTTCGATTTGGAATTTGTACTGATCTCACTCGCGCATAGACTTGTAACCAGTCTGCACTACGGCAAAAGAAAGGGTGAGGTTGTTTGCTGTAGGCAGACTGGTACAACTCGGACTTGATCAAAGGGCTGTGCCCGGAGTTTGAAAAGATTTCCCCGAAGCTGGATTTTGCTCAAATCTGGCTTTTTTGAAAATCGGTAATTTAGAACCTTTGAACTTGAGTTCTGTCTCTTCCGAATAATATTTTATGGCCTAAAGGCTGAGCTGTAAAAAAGTTGATCTTGGCGGGGGATTGACGGCTGAACACAGCCACCCGATCGGCAGCCTCGGCTCCCGCCAAAAATTCAAACTCCGGGCACAGCCCTTTGGCGTGGCCCGAGTTGTACCAGTCTGCCTACGGCAAATAACCTCATCATTTTCCTTTGCCGTAGCGCAGACTGGTAACGAGTCTAACTCGCGCATGTGATTGGGTTTGAGCACCTTTTTCATGGTCCCAGTATATATGGGGAGGAAGGACAGGAGATGAAGCCTTCTGTGGATCAAGGTAGAGGAAGGAAACAGGGTATGAAGCCTTCGTGGATCAAAGCAGATCACCTCGAGATTGTGCGGCGACGGCAATTGAGAGATTAACGAGGAGATGTGGGTTCGAATCCCACCAGAGGCCTGGCCAATTGTACACTTACCTTTTTTTGTTTTTGTTTTTGTTTTTGACCCGGCCGTCCCCAACGTTTCGTTGTCAAGAATTCCAACTTGCGTGGTCTGGGTTTTTTTAACTTTGTTACAGTTTTTGTCCTAGGACGGACTGGTTGATATTGAAATTAACCTTAAGCCTGGGTGGGAAGGATGAGGACTCAACTGCCTCTGTAGCTCAGGTGGTACAGCTCCTTCGTGTTTTGTCTGCTTCATTAGATTTTCTGGGGAGACGTGGGTTCGAATCCTGCCGGAGGCATGACCCCAAACACCAATGTTTTTGTTTCTCGGATTTTTGTGTTGTTCTTTTGGATGCCGATTCGCAGGCATTCATATATGGTGGGAAGGGATAGTGTTTGAAGCCTCTGTGGATCAGGGGTAGATCGCCTCGACCTCTTAAGGAAGTCTTTGAAAATTAACGAGGAGAGGTGGGTTCGAGTCCCACCAGAGACATACTCTGGTTCCAGTGCCACATTTTTCAACTTCTTTTTTTGGGCTGTTCAAAGGTTACTCGTACATCCTGATTGACCCCCGAGTCGTATGCGTGACTGACTGGGCCCAATGAGGGCCACTTTTTATATGTTCCTGGGCCCTCTTATATATGTGATCAATCACATAGGGGAGCAGCGGGGAGTAGGACATGAAGTCTCTGTGGATCAGTGTAGATCACCCCAGTATCGCATATCTATGGGAGACGTGGGTTCGAATCCCACCAGAGGCATGGCATGAAGACTAGAAGTTTTTTGTTTCTCCGATTTTGTGTTGCTCTTTTGGATGCCGATTCACATGCATGCATATGGCGGGAAGGCATAGAGTTTGAAGCCTCTGTGGATCAGGGTAGATCGCCTCGATATCTTGAGCCGTAGCGCTGCATAATTAACAAGGAGATGTGGGTTCGAGTCCCACCAGAGGCCTGATTCTATCGCCGCGTTTTTTCGGCTTTTTTGGAGGAGTTCAAGTTCGATTTGGAATTTGTACTGATCTTGCTTGCGCATGTGATTTGGGTTTGAGCACCATTTTTATGCTCCCAGTATCATATAATGTATATGGGGAGGAAGGAAACAGGGTATGAGGCCTCTGTGGATCAGTGTAGATCGCCCCGACTTCTGAGAGGCTTTTCTTGCTTGTTATAGCGAGTAGATGTGGGTTTAATTCCCACCGGAGGCATATGTTGGTGGGTTCAAATCCCACCGCAGGCATTGATCGGCACTATGAAACTTGTTTTTTTCACCCCTTGCACTTCTTTTTTATGGTCCCAGTATCATATGATGTATAGGGGAGGAAGGAAACGGGGTACAAAGCCTTTGTGGTTCAATGTAGATCACCTCGAGATTGTGTGAAGTAAAGTTTGATAAAGATTAAGGAAGAGATGTGGGTTCAAATCCCGCCGCAGGCATACAGCAGAAGGCATCTACCTTTTTTACCAACTCCGTGGCTCAGTGCTCAACGGGTAAATTTACCATGTGCTCGCTCTGGGCTGTAAGTCTGTACTGACTGTACAGCGGGTTGGAGTTTCGTCAAAGGTGTGCGTCTGAAGGATTAGAGTTTTGTGTTTCTCTGGGTACCAGACCACCAGTTGAATTTGTGCTGAATCTGTTGTACTAACTGATCTGGCATTCGGCGAGGTTTGAGCACCGTTCTGACGGTTCCAGTATTATACAATGTATACGGGGAGGAAGGAAACGGGGTATAAAGCCTCTGTGGATCAGGGTAGATCACCTCGAGATTGTACGAAGCCAACTTTGACAAAAATTGAGGAGGAAATGTGGGTTCAAATCCCACCGGAGGCATAGATCTGGCACCGTGTTCTTTTCGACTTTTTTCAAGTTCAATTCGGAATTGTAGTGACTTAGCTCGCGCATGTGATTTGGGTTTGATTCCCACCAAAGGCCTGAACCCGCTTGAAGTCACCACTTTTTTTGTCTCCCCTCCAACAACTTCTTTGGTTCCTTCCTTCCTCTTCCCTTCCAACATTATTTCTGGCCCGGGGTCCCCTTCAATAGTTCAAATACTTATGAGACACTTAGACAAGACATGGTGGTCTAATCAACCAACACCCTCATTAATCTTAAGCCGATGCCAGACTAGGATTTAGAGCTGTGTATAGAGCTGGCGCAGAGTGGTTATGAAGCCTCTGTGGATCGGTGTAGATTGCCTCGGACATATAGGGCTATGACTGTGATATTCAATGAGGAGATGTGGGTTTAAATCCCACCGGAGGCCTGGCTCCAGTGCCATGTATTTTTTGAACTTTTGAGGGGTTCAAAGTTTATTGGTACATCCTCTTTCCTGACCCCCGAGTCGTAGGTGTCACTGACTGAGCTTGAGTACGGTTTGCGGGAAGGACTCGGATGAAAATAAAATTAGCCACGGATCACCGAGGTCGCCGGATCGAGTCCCGTACAAAACATATGTGTAGTTACTGTCCTATTGCATATTTTGTCGACCTTTTGAACACAAGAGACTATTATGTGCTCCCAAAATTAACCATGGCAGATGTGGTTTATTTCACGGGACGCCCCATGTCATCAGGACCGATGATTAGCCCGCCTAGGTCACATGCCGAAATCGGGCCTCCAAAAGATTTTGTCGGGACTTTGCGTCCGTTGCTCGGGCAAAATTTTGTCGGGATTCCGGCTATGACCTTTGAGGATTTTTTTTTTGTCGGGACTGGATCAGACCTCAAATTTGGGCGAAAATATGACATAAATCACTAAAAAATCGTATTAAATCACTCCTCAATGCAATCGTCGCGGAACGCGGTCACGTAACCCCACCGTGATCTCCCATCAATTATCTTGTCTTCATTCTCGCTCTTGCACAACTACTCGGAGGCAGACTTTCAGTGCTTTGACATGATTGACGGCTGTACTAACTAACACATCATATACTTCAGGATTACTTAGCCAGGCAATCCCAAAATGTTTCGCTCATTTTGTAACCTAGCTCAAGTTGTGGATGAATAAAGGCATTGTTTTTACTGTGACCTCAGGTGACTACAGTAATTAATCCTAGTCATCATCGTCATCATCTCCTACAGCAAGGTTAAGAGTCTTGCAGAAGACATTACAGTCGTGCTGATCACACACCGGAATCCCTGAAAATGGATGAGATTTAGCAGAGAATATTGAGAAATACATACCCATCAGGTGTATGGGTCATCATGTCATAGATGAGAATACCCATAGCGTTCGTACTGAGTCTCCCCGATGAACCTTGCAAGCATCAATACTAGGCAGAAAATTCAGAATGAACACATACCTTGTATGTCCACAAGGACAATAGCACCTTCACTCCACTGGAAGGCATAGTTATTTCGCCCTAAAGATCAACTCGACCCTAGTCTCTCCAGACAGACACTCTATAAAGAATGTGCTCATGCCTCACGTTATAGAACTCGACCCGTCAACGGGTCCACCCGTCCCTTACCCGTCCGTCAGAAAATATGACTTTGTTGCTCGTCGGCTGGGACCCGCCCTGTTGCGACGGACCCTGTTGCGACGGGACCCGTCGCCGTCGCTGGCTGCCTTAACCGTATGGTGTTCCCTGCCCGAACTACTGTACTATTACGACCAAAGGTTCACGCCATGTCACCCGTCACCTCAAAGGTTCACTGGCATCAAGGTTCATTGATCGGCAATCACTGAAAATGGATGCACGGCTCCGGCGGGTGCCGGCCGAGATTTTTTGACAGTTTTCACCCCTATTCCAGGCCAAAAATTGGAATGTCACCGTCACTCATGCCAAATTGGTTCAGTTCACGAGTCCCCGTCACCCGTCACCTGAACTTTTGGTCGTAATAGTACAGTAGGTGGCTACTAAGTGGTAAGGATAAATGTACTCAGCCGGACTCGAACCGCCGCCAATCTCCCAAAAGAAATCCATCCGAGTCCTTCTGGCAAACCGTACTTGAGGCACCACTGTGTCCATATGTTCCTGGACCCTATTATGTGATCACTTAAGGATGGGATGCATATGGGGGCAGTGAGGAGTAGGGTATGAAGCCTCTGTGGATCAGGGTAGATCACCTCGAGATTGTTACAATTATTCAAACACCTAATTAATGAAGTGATGTGGGTTCAAGTCCCACCAGAGGCATGGACCAGCCTAGCTGCTGTAACCTTTGGGGAGTTCAAGTTTGATTTGGAACTTGTACTGACCTCGCTCATGCATGTGATTGGGTTGGAGCACAGGAATGAGGAAACAGGGTGTGAAGCCTCCGTGGAATCTGGATTAGTGTAAAGCGCCTCGGAGACGTGGCATGATAATGTTGACATACTTGGATTTTGTACTGATCTGATTGGATTTACAGTAAACTTCTGTATCATATAGTGTATATGGGGAGGAAGGATAGGGTATAGGGCCTCTGTGGATCAATGTAGATCACCCCGACCTCTTAAACGCTTCCAGGGTCACAGCGAGGAGATGTGGGTTTGAGTCCCACCGGAGGCATGATCCGATCCAACCCTTTTTTTCAATTTTGGGGCCAAAATTTACAAGTACATCCTGATCCGAGTACGTGTTGGACTAGCTTGAGGCACCACTGTTTTGTGTTCTTGACACGTGATCAATATTAATTACAGCCATTTGCGGAACTTAGGGCGCGAGTCTTTTTTTTTTTTTCACACTTTTCAACGAGAATGGTCATTTTGAGCTCAATTCTTGTCCGTTTGCCTCGAGAATATGCTCATTGTGTCCGCAATAAAAATGCGGAGGGCACCACGGTCACTTTCCGACTTTCCGCCAAAACGTGGCATCCAGATCGGGTAATATTTGTCGGCAGTGCTAGGCGGTGCATCAGTTTGCCGCGATGCCGTGTGTGCCATCATTCGACGGTTTGTCGGCGCGCCCAGCAGAGCAACGGTTTACGCGCTCGTCGAAGGCTCACTGAACATCGACACGAAAGGGCATTCACGAAAATACATTCTGCAATGATTTTACAAATTCTAGACCATTCTATACATCTATTGTGCGTATGGGTAGAAATTTAAAAGCGCCTACACATCTTCGATGATCTTGCGCGCGCAGTGCTGGTTAACTTTGATTTTGTGGCAGAGACCATTGGCGCAAGTCGTGGTGCTTGGGGGTGCTAACGACGGTGTGGGCTGCTGCAAGAGGAGCAGAGGGTACAGCGAGGTTGGCGGCGAGAGGGGCGGACGGCGAGCATGAATATGTTGCAGGTTACGCACTGGTAGGAAATATCGGGTTTTGCAGGGGCCTTGCTGACAAAGGCGAAGCTGAAGAGCACTTCGACACGCTGGATGCGGGCACCGAAAAGACTGAGCGATGTTGGGCATGGTTCGAGTGAAGAGAGAGAGATGGTGGCGGACAGTGTGTGCATCACGCGTGATGCACCGCCTAGCACTGCCGAAAAATATTACCCGATTTGGATGCCACGTTTTGGCGGAAAGTCAAAAGTGACCATGGTCTTCGTTTTCCCTGATGCGATCATAATTGCCTTATTGGGAAAATGTCGCCCTTTTTGTACAGAATGATGAGCGTGATAGCTATAGGTATCCAAATGACCTAAAAATTTGAGAGGATGGTATTGGGTGTATTACGGAGGGCTGGACGGACCGGTATTTTCTCATATTGTATTTATATCTTGTATACAAGGTATTCAGATATCCCACATTATGAGAATGCAGAATACCGGTAAACTAAGATACACATTCAAAATCCTGGTCCGTCCAGCCCTCAGTGATACTCATAAAGACATCATATCAAATTTATAGGGCAACCTGACCACAGCACAGAGGATGCAACAAGTTCTGTACAAAAAGGGCGACATTTTCCCAATAAGGCAATTATGATTGCATCCGGGAAAACGAAGACCGTAGTGCCCTCCGCGTTTTCATTGCGGACACAATGGGCATATTCTCGAGGCAAACGGACAAGAATTGAGCTCAAAATGACCATTCTCGTGGAAAAGTGTGAAAAAAAAAAAAAAAGGACCCACGCCCTAAGTTCCGCAAATGGCTGTAAGGATGGGATGCATACTGATGCATATTATATGGCACAGCGAGTATAAGCCTCTGTGGATCAGTGTAGATCACCTCAATATCTTGCTGCTTTGAAGATTAATGAGGAGACGTGGGTTCGAATCCCACCGCAGGCATTGAGACCTAAGATTCCGAAATTTCTTTTCCCCCCTTGTGTTTTTTATTTATTCATTCCGACGCCAATCCGGATGCCTGCTGCCTAATGGAGGAATGAGAAATAGGGAAACAAGGTATGCAGCCTCCGTGGATCAGTGTAGATCACCTTGATATCTTAGAAGTTCTTGGTGTTCTCAAAATTACCGAGGAAATGTGGGTTCGAGTCCCAACAGAGGCCTGGCTCCAGTGCCCATACAACGGAATAGTCAATCTTTTTTGTCCTCCTTGTCCCAGTGCTGCCTACTGGTAAGGTCTTTTTCTTTTTCGACTCAACCCATCCCTTGAACGTTTCGTTTAGAATTCCAACTTCTGTGGTTGGGGTTTTTTTTTTCACCTTTGTTTTACCCCGGGTTCATTGACATTGAAATTAACCTTAAGCTTGGTAAAGACAAGTGCATTAATGCCTCCGTAGCTTAGGTGGTAGAGCTCCTTCGTGTTATGTTTGTTTTATCAGGTTTTCTGAAGGAGACGTGGGTTCGAGTCCCGCCGGAGGCATGCGTTTAAGCAGTACATTTTTTTGATTTTTTTTTTTTTTTTTTCGTTTGGTCCTTGTTTTCTACTAATGTATAATGTATGGAGGAGTAAGGAAACAGGGTATGAAGCCTCCGCGGATCAGTGTAGATCGTCTTGATATCTTGGGCTTTAGGTTTGAAAATTACGGAGGAAATGTGGGTTCGAGTCCCGGCGGAGGCATGGATTGACCACGATGATTTTTTTTTTCTTTCGGGGATTCCAAGTTTACTCGTACATCCTGATTCCTGTGACTGATTGGGCTTGAGGCATTACTACTTTTTTCCCCTATGTTCCTGGGCCTTATTATGTGATCAATTAAGGATGGGATGCATATGGGAGTGGCGGGGAGTAGAGCATGAAGCCTTTGTGGATTAGGGTAGATCGCCTCGGTATTTTCAAGCTGAAGTGGAAGTGAAAAGTAACAAGGAGATGTGGGTTCGAGTCCCGGCAGAGGCATGGAATCGCGGAGTAGAGATTTTTCTTCTTCTTTAGGATGCCGATTTGCGTGCAGGCATGTGGAGGGAGGGCATAGGATATGAAGCCTCTGTGGATCAGGGTAGATCACCTCAAGATTGTACATGTTACTCATACGGAAGTTAACGAGGAGATGTGGGTTCGAGTCCCACCGGAGGCATGGATCCAATCCCGCCTTTTTCGATTTTTTTTTTTTTTTTTTTGGGGGGATTTGTACTTAGTACTAACCGCGCTCACAGATGTGATTGGGTTTGAGCACCCTGATATCATCAGGAAGAAGGACACAGGGTATGAAGCCTCTGTGGATCACGGTGGATCACCTTGATATTTTAAATGTAAAGGCAAGGTAATGAGGAGATGTGGGTTCCAGTCCCGCCGGAGGTATAGAAATGTAAGGTAGGCGTCAGTCACTCCCCGCAAACGGTCACGCGGTGTGTAACGCGTGACGCGTGACGGCAAAAATCGCGAAGCTGTTTCACAAACTGGCTGCGAATAGCGTGATTTTCACATTTACAAGGTCGAAAAAAAAGTAGACACATTACATAAGTACCACTCCTCTTGAAAACATCTAGATACATATTTCTGGGGTAATTTCACCGCAGGGAGTCATTTGAACCCTACATAGGCGCACCATATGCCGAAATACGTGGAAGTCCCGGAATGTTCACCCGATCAATTACTATATATAGGCGTGGGAACATTACGTTAGCGGCAAAATTTTGGTAGTCAGAAAACCAAAAGGCCTCCATTCGTCGAAGAAACAGTTTTGCACTTCAAAAAAAAATGGGTTGAAAAAATTGTATACTGCTCCATCAAAAGGTAATATTTTCAAAATCCGAAACCAGGGATCTCTCGAGGACATCCAAATACACCATTTCCTGGTTTTACTTCGAGACGTAATGTTGTGTGGCCGGAGCTTAATCAATGTCACGGTTGAGTCATGTGACCACTTGCGGGGAGTGACTGACGCCTACCTTATATGGGGAGGAAGGAAACAGGGTATGAAGCCTCCGTGGATCAGGGTAGATCACCTCAATATCTTGAGTCTTTCTTGGAAGATTAACAAGGAGATGTGGGTTCAGCTCCCACCGGAGGCATAATTAATCCCCCGCAACCTTTTTCAAGTTCGATTTGGAATTCCTATAAAATGTTGGTATTCAATGGGGAAATGTGGGTTCGAATCCCGCCGGAGGCGTGCGCGACAGAGTAGAGGTTTTTATTTTATTTTTGAGGATTTTTCCGTGGTTCTTTTGGATGCCGATTCGCATGCACACATATATGGAGGGAAAGGATAGGATATGAAGCCTCTGTAGATCAGAGTTGATTGCCTCGAATTGTTATGAGAGTACATGGAGAATTAACGAGGAGATGTGGGTTCGAGTCCCACTGGAGGCATAAAATGGCAATGTCCAACTTTTTTATCCTCCTTGTGCCTCTTTTTATTCCGGCACCCAGCTGCCTACTGGAGGAGTAAGGAATAAGGACATGAAGCATGAAGCCTCTGTGGATCAGTGTAGATCGCCTCGAGATTGTGCGACGGCAGTTGAGAAATTAACGAGGAGATGTGGGTTCGAGTCCCGCCAGAGGCATGGATCGACCGCGCTGAATTTTCATTTGTTTATTTATTTTCGGGGATTCCAAGTTTACTCGTTCTCCTGATTCCTGTGAGTGATTGGCTTGATGCATCACTACTTTTTTATATGTTCCTGGGCCTATTATGTGATCAATTAAGGATGAGATGCATATGGGGGCAGCAGGGAGTAGAGCATGGAGCCTCTGTGGATCAGGGTAGATCACCACACACAGGAGCACATAACTGCACTCACACACCCTGCACGCGTCTCACTTTCGCGTGCAGCCTCGCACCCAGCGTATCAGCGGGTTGGAGTTTCGTCAGAGGCGTGCATCAGAGTTTTGTCTTTTTCTGAGTATCAGTTTGAATTCGTGGTTTAACTGATTTGGTGCTAGGGTTAGTGAGCACTTTTTTATGCTCCCAGCATTATATAATGTATAAGGGGAGTCACGGAGTAGGGTATGAAGCCTCTGTGGATCAGTGTAGATCACCTCCATATATATCTTCAACAGCCCTAGGTGTTCTCGAAATTAACGAGGAGACGTGGGTTAAAGTCCCACCGGAGGCATTCTGGATTTAGTCTGCATTTTTCTCTAACTTTTTTTTTTGGGGGGGTGGGCTTCAAAGTTTATTAGTACATCCGGACCTCTGAGTCATATACAGTATGTAACTGACTGGGCTAGAGGGATCACTGTTTTTTTGTAACATACACTGCGTTCAGCGGCCGCGTCGACGAACCCCTGTATACTAGACTAGACCCTTTGCCGACCCTTGCCGACCATGGGAAACAGGCCCTTGCCGACGTCAGATCAGCACAGCTGTGCTGACATGACTCGACCCTTTGCCGACCGACCGTCCCCAAGGCTTAGTCTCGTTCCCGACGTTCTAGGGCAGTCGTTCGCACCGCTCACGGGCAGAAATCTAACCGGGGATGTCGAGATGTTGTCGAGGCAGAAGTTTTGATGAAATTTGATGGCGATACACTGCCCTAGAACGTCTGGTGCAACTCGTATAGATAACGTTGTACTGTGTCACGCTTTCAAAAATCTCTTCGATTTCCTCATCCTGAACCCAAACAACCTTTATTAATGTTCCCAAACCTTACTGGATGTCCTCCTTCTCCACTGAAACCCAAAAAACTGTGTATCTATTGCCCCAATCATTGTTGTTTGTCTACTGATCAAAATGCCTCTTTTCATGAATTGAACACCCGGACCTGCTTAATCGGGTCCAGAAATCTTTCCAGATCTCTCTGAATGGTTTCAGAATGCTGATATAGGACTTCCTGATTTTTCCTGTGCCCGGAGCAATAGGAATATAACTGCTTCAAGAAGTGCACATAATGTTGACTTCTTCAGTAAACTTCTTTTCGACGCGTTTACCTCCGGTTTTCTTTGGCCATCGTGTGTTGTGGTCTTATCAAAAGCTATGTACCACGTACCAATGGTCCCCGGTAGAATCTGCATGAACACTGAACACGACGAGGGTCGTGACAAACGTGACCGATTGCCTCAGTGCAACGGTTACTATACGAGCTGCACCAGATCTTACAGGTGCGTTCTCCCATCTCTTTTTCATCAAAATCTCTGCCTCGGGTTTTTTCGGCCGGGAGTTAGCACCGTAAGATCTGGAGCCGAGATTACCCAAGGCTGTGCCTCCCTCTGCCTCCCTCCCACAGAGCTCGCCCACACTTGCAGATCGATCTGCCACTTCGCCTCCTGCCGAGCTGCCCTCCGTGTACCTATGATACATTTTGGAATATTATCAAACTCCGCCGTGATTCACCGATTAAGCGGCTTCACACCAGTTACGTACTCCATTTCAGGTCCAGCCAAGGTCCAGTGTTGGTTCATTGCCTTGTTTAGGGTCAGTCAAAGTGTTATTTGAGCTCACTTGGAAAGGTCATTTGAGGTCCATCGAGATCCGCAGAGGTCTGTGGACACCCGCTGTGCGGACGTCTGCCGCCCGGGGTCAGCACAGCCTGTGTCGACGAACCCCCTGAACGCAGTGATATAATAGTACAAAAATAGAACTGAAACCGGCCACAAGGGTCCGAACCATATGTCCAAAATGTAGCGGGACTCAAGGCACAATACAATAAGAAAGGTGAAACTGTCCTAACCGTGTGATTATCGAGGGGTCCTGGTTACGCCAACCGTTTCATGAAAAGATACCATTCAAAGAAGCCTGGAGCACTATATCGATTTCCGAGACTAGCTGCATCGAGCAAAAGTGAGCATGCAGCTGACTTTTGAGCAGATTATGATTGGTTGAGTGGTTGAATCTAATTGACCAGTTCTCTTATGGTTCTGGATATTTTTCCACACCAAGAGAGCGGTAGAAAAACGGAGCATGATGAGAGGAAGTTTCCGATTTTGGCGAAGCCCGTAGGGCGTGTTTGGTCACGCGGTCACACTTATTGATTTTCAAGGTATGGCCGGGATGTCAGAACTGCTGGAATAAGTTCAAAAGTTAAAGCTGAATTTGAGTGAGTCCTTTTCGAAAGTCATGGTCATTGAACCGAAATGAGGTGATAAACATTTTATGGTTCTTCGGTGCTGAGATATCCAGGTATGTGTGCGTGATTTCACCAATTTCACAAATGTGGTATCACATGGACAGGGTATGAAATGAGTGCAATATGTAGTCAAAGGGGTCAAGCAATCAGATGATCATGGCGGAGAGGGATGATGGTTTGGAAATTAATTGGTGGTAAGTTGAAATAGGAACTACCTGATGCAGACTGATGCGATAGTGGATTGCATCACGGAGATCCGGGTCGGAACCGGGTTATTCGTAGAAGTGCACCGGGTTATTGGTAGGAGTGTGTAGGGGCCAGAAAAGTGAAAATCATGACACAGCCCTTCGATCAAGTGCGAGTTGTACCAGTCTGCCTACGGCAAACCAACCTCCCCCTATTTTTGCCGTAGTGCAGAGTGATTACGAGTCTATGCACGGCATAGATGGCAGCACATTGCAACAGTGTAATCCGGAGTGGAAGTAACTTTCATAGAACCAGTTTACAGTCCTGGAAGAGGGTAAAAGACTCCAGATCTTGAAGAGCCGGCTTTTAGCAAAAATTGGGTATCTTGGACAAAGGCGAGAGTTGTGCAGAAATATAGTGACCACATGAGGGGCAGTCAGAAGGTACTTCTTTTGTAGTGACAGTGAAAAGGATGTAAAGTCTTGGTTCACTGGATTTTGTTCCATGAGTGGCAGAACATCTTGATCATTTGGGACTCTTGCATTGTGGCCAGCAGTGGTTTTTTACCTGAAATTTGAAGGTTCAATTCAGTTTCAGGAAGCAGTTGTGAAGTTGAGGCAGTGAGTAGTAGTAAGTGGTGGTGCATAAACACAGGAGAAGCCTAAAGAGAAACTAACCAGTCAATAACTTTCATCGTGACCCAACTACTTAAAGGACTTTTGTTACATTTCCTGGGGGTTTGACGAACGGTAGTCTTTTAAGTGTTGACCATTGGATAAACAACAAGCAGACCAGAAAAGCTCTGGAGCCCAATGTCTGGTTCCCCAACCCATGAAGCATGCATGAAGTCACCGGTATACAGTGTATCCGGCTTCGCGTTCATCTGAGGGAGAACCTCACTCAGCAACAATTGTGATTCAGGGTAAATTAAATGAGCTTAAAAGAAAATCTCAACAAGTCATCACCGTACATGTGGTCAGATGCTCATTCAACTTTGCTGAGATATCAGTGCTGGGCCGCCCCCGTGACAGGGTGAGGAGTTGTGAGAGCGCAACTTACACTGTTGAAAACAGAAAACCACTGCAAGTTGAAGGGAAAGCCCAAAAGTTCATGACCCAGGCTGCCCAATATTTTCAGGGACCTTGAGTTAGAGATGCAAGAGGCAGTTGGTAAAACAATCACAACCAAAGCACCTCAGACGGTGGGCTGAAAACTGCTGTCTGAGATGTCCGAGCGGGGTTTGATTCACCGATTGCCGTGTGTCGATTCCAAAGCACTGCATTCTGGATAGCCGCAGCACCGCCGTACCAAATATAGCCCCTCGCGTGTGGCTTCCGAAGCTAGCCAGGCTCAGCATTAGGCAGACAGCTCCTACCCACAGCTACCGAGAGTGCGTTAGGTGGGCAATACCTCACCGGGACAAAGCAGGTCAACAATAGCCATTGGTGTGCCTTAGGCCGAGCTGGCTGACATAGCCTTGGGTACGTAACCCTCGGTGTCCCATGGCTGAATAGTGACGGTCAGAGTAGCTTCTCAATCGTCGTTTATGCACTCGTTTATGGATCCGGTTAAGCAAAACATCGAACGTGGGAGAAACGACAATTTGCATAAACGGTTTGCATAAACGGCTCTGGAGCCGATTATGCAGTCGTTTATGAGTCGTTTATGCGCCAAAAAAAAGTCAGGTCGTTTATTCTCACGTTTCTGTCAAGTTTCTGATGCTAAAAATTTGCATAAACGACTTCATAAACGACTCCATAACCGGCGCCATAAACGCCTCATAAACGGCTGAAAAAGTTACTCTGACCGTCACTAATGTTGTGAGGAACAATAAAGCCTAATTCAGCCTGTTGGTTCACTTTGGTTCACAAGTCATCATGGTCTCCACAGCACCCGGGATCTATCTGTCGAGTAAGGATTGATGTAATTGAGAAGCCAAGAGGGTAATGTATCAGCAAATCACAAACCTAGGAACAGTGATTGGGGCATTCTAACCAGTGAAGCCTCCATACGTGTTGAAAACATCTAGGATGAATCTGATTCAGTCCAGTGAAATTTAGTAAAACTTAGAAGGAAAAACAAGAGCACCGCGAGGTGCTTTGGACCCCACAACTTCGGTCCGAATCAAAGCAATGATGTCAATCTTGAAGACAGTAAAAGCTGTTTGCTCCCGAAATAAAGCTGTTAATTTTGCTGTGCATGGCAAACCTCGGCCCGGCTCAGCATATTCGGTATCACAGCGGCCGAAACATCTTTGGCTGCATGATCAGTGGCGCCGCAGTTAAGCGTGATCCTATCAGCGGAGCTTAAAA